CAAGCGGGTCAGCTAGCTTGCTCGCTGCCAGCAAAGCGCTTTTCCTTACGAGAATCGGTATTGCAGAGCCTGCCGCAAGTTGTACGGCAACCTAGCCGGGAGTGGCTTGGCTTGGGGCGGTGAGCGTGTGGTTTGAAGCAAGACGCGATTGCTGTGAAGCTTTTTGAAACGTGCGAGAGAGGTGGGGAAACGCGCGGCAGCGGCTTGCTTAACTCTAAAAGGCAGTTTTTAGCTCAGGGAGTCAAAATGAAACAAGCTTTGGTTCTCGTGAGATGAGAACACCAAAAAGAATGCATCGTATGTTCGCAAAAAGAAATCGTCGGCCGGTTGGAGATGCTCCTGGCTGTTGCCTCGTGGGTGAATCGAACACCCGATCTCCTCATTACTAGTGAGGCGCTATACCACTTAGCCAACAAGGCTTGATGACTGAGCCGCGGAAATCGCGGCTTATGATCCACCGCGAGACATCCTCCCGTCTGCACCACATTGCCGCGATGAAATGCAACTCATGTATTCGCCCATAGGCCAACGCGCACTAAACAACCGCTCGCGCCTCTAATGTCGCCTTTTTGGCGTGACTAGATATGGTATGTGTGTTGTGGTTAATATACAGTGGTATCTCCTCCATGGGTAGTAGCCTCCAATTAGCCTATCCAAGACCCAGGAGCTCCAGGCCCCGACGCCGGAAAGATGTGTGTGTGTCTGTGTGCACGGAATACTGTCCATGGTTCGTATGTGTAGTTTTTTTAATTACCGTCTCCTCCGTAGAGATTGGTTTATCCTTTGTTGTTCGTCCACCCTTACGCCACCGTCCGTCGCCTAAACAGAATCTCCGCGTTGGGATCCGGCGACTTGCTCATTACCATGACCATGGGCTTCGGCCTCGTCTCGCCGTCCTTGAGCTTGATGTCGTAGTTGAGCAGGAAATACGCCAGGATCATCTTGATCTCGTTCCCTGCGAAGAAGCGGCCCGGACATGCGTGCTTGCCGGCGCCAAAGTTCATGTTGGTATCGCTGATGCTGGTGAACTGCCACCTGTTTGCGTCCTCGTCGGACTTCTGTCGTAGTTTGTAGAAGCGCAGCGCGTCGAACGTGTCTGGGTTCTCAAAGTATCGCTCATCGTGCGAGATGCCGGCCTGCGGTGCCAGCAGCTTGGTGCCCGAGGGCAGGTGGGTGCCGTCGGACAGGTCGATCGGCTTGATGACCTTGCGGATGAAGGAGGCTGCGACATGTTAGTCTGGTGCACCAATAACAACAAAACTGCCACTCACTGATGTTGCCGGCGAGGCGCTGGGTCTCCTTCATAAAGCTGTCCAGCTTCTTCAGCTTGGCCATGCTTTCTTTCCTCGCCCACCCGTGCTCGACCTCCAGCACCTGCCGCGCCTCCTCGCGAAGCATCTCTTGCGCATCGGGGTTGGCTGCGAGGTCGTAGATGCAGTCGGTGACGAGATTGTTCGTCGTGTGGATCGACGCCGCCGCGAGGATGAGCTGCAGGTGCGCCTGGGACCTGATATCCGTCTTCTCCTCTGCAGGCAGCGATTCTACCAGCCACTGGATCAAGTCGTCGGGGGTCTGTTCACAGCTGGGCATCTCCAGATCCCGCAGCCGCTCCTCGATGACGGGCTTCAGCATGTTGCTCGCGAGGTCGATGTCCTTGGTGATCTGCCGCAGCTCCGACACCATGTACTGCCCGACGGGCCGCGCCCACTCCGGGAAGAGCTGCATCTTGACCACGGCGACAAAGACGTGGATGGCAAAGTTGATGCTAATGTCCATCCACTTCTCTTGGCGGTTGATGTCAGATCCCACAAACGCCCGGCCGCTGATCCGTGCGATGGCTCGCAGCGCAAAGGGCTGGAACTTAACCGGCGTCCAGTCTAAGGTCGGTTAGCACGAACCGTGGCACACAAGGTTTGGAGCACGACATACCCTTGCAGTCGGGAAACTCGGTGGCGACGACGTACTCGAGCTCGCCCTTGAGCTGTGGCACGAGCCTGGCCAGATTCTGCGAGAGCTTGCATCGGACCAGAGTCGACAGCAGATCCGCGTGGGGGCCCAGCGTGAAGTTGGTGTACCGACTCAGCATGGCCTCGTCAACGGCCTCCGTCGCGCTGAGCACTTCTTCTGGCAGGCTTCTCAGCTCGCCGATGAGTCGCGCGGGGATGAGGACCTGCAGGCCTTCTGTCGCCTTGATCTGGTAGACGGTATCGCGGAACTAAGTGCACAGTCAGCCATGATCACCGCCAGCCCAATCGAAGAGCCTCACCTTGCCATAGCTGTCGCGAATCAACGTCTCCGCGTCAAACATCCACTTGGTCTTTGCCGCCTTGTAGAACGGAATGGGCAGCTTCTGCTTGCGCGATTGCAGCAGCCACGCGACCACCAGCATCGCGCTGATGGCGACGTAGTAGCTGATGTGCTTGCCCCCCGGCACCACCTGGGGCAGGTTGAGCTCCATGGGCATCGACGACATTGTGGTTGACTGATTCATCGGAATGCTGGATGAAGGGAAAGAAAGCAATCCTCAAAAGCAAATCTAGCTGGGTATCAATCCAACACGCCAACACGACCAGAAAAAAAAAAAAAAAGGTACAACGCCAGCGAGGCGGTAAAGTCGAACTCGGATCGAGATCAGGTCGCAATGAGAGTCGTCTGCTGATGGAGACTTCCCGGGGCGGAGAGGGAAGTATGGCGACGACTTAGGTATGCCTCCAAGACATTGGCCATTAGAATCCAAGAGTACCCGGCCAGGCCCTGCGGAGGGTCGACGATGCGATGGCGTCAAGGTTGGCGGCTCCAGGAAGTGGGAAAAGTCAAAAAGGACGAATGACGGCTGTCCAAGTCGGGATTCCGAGTTCCTGTGGCCGCGTTGCCCGTCCGTCGTCCCCGTCTCTTTTTCTCTGTCTGTCTCGCAAGCGTCGTCCAGCGTCGTCGTCGAGTTCGGTTTGCTGAGCGTTGTTGACCTTGTCCGTCGTGCTACCCGTGGTCCAGGAAGAAATCAGTAGCCCAGATGAGAGTGACGGTGCAAAGGGACGGGACTCTACAATGATAAAAAGTAAAACCCAAGGAGCAAAAAACGAACCAAAGACAAAAAGAGGGAAGGGGTAAAAAAGGATAAAAGTCGGAAATCGATGCTTGTCTGCGCGTGCCTGTTTGCATCGCAGTGTGTACCCTGCATCAGCAGCAACGGCGGCGCGCGCAAGTGCACACACCAGAAACACAGACGACATGCAACGCAAAGCAGGCCTTCCCGCTTCCTTCCCGACAGCAGCGCAGGACGCTACGCAAGCCATTCCCGACCTCCTCCCATCGGTATCCATCGGGGCGGCGGCCTGGCGACCTGTGACCTGGAGGACCCAGGACAAAGGCAGGGACCGCTAAGCTTGACCTTGCGCCTGGGCCGGGCACGCTGGGTGAAATCTGGAGGGTTTGGGAGTTTGGACCGACTGGGACGTGATCGACTTCTGCTTCCTTGGGCGTCTCTGGCGGTTTCGCGGACTTGCCAGGCGCATCTGAAACATGGATGGTCAACAGGAGTCGTTCGGGAGCAGCCACCTCCGGATTTTTAGCTTGCTGCCCACCCCGTGCCTCGAAAGAGAAAAAGAGTCCCAAACATGTTCATGTTGCTGCTGTTGATGCGGATGTTTTGATTAGCCGTCATTGCGCTGTGGCAATTAGGCGCAGTTGAATCATCCGCATAGGGTCATTTTGCCAGCCGTTGTTGGTCTCCTCCGTCAAGCAAGGTAGGTGGAATAAGTGATCGAATAAGATCAAGATCAAGATAAGGTATTCTGTAACCAAAATGCGAGGTACCGACGTCTCAGACAGGCGTCTTAGGTAATCCCTATCCCAGGGGCGAGAGAGAGCCCCTACAGTACCTACCCCCCAGTATCCTTCAGCCTCATCGCGGCCAACGGGATACCTTAGTGTACCTTCCCCACCTGCCCCTTCTGGCACGGATGCTGGCCCGACAGGGGCTTTCTCGGCTCGCTTACTGGCCGAGACGCGCCAGAAATTGTTAGTGTAGCGCAACTCCTCCACATTCATCCCATCTCCGACCATCTTCTGACCTCAACCCACCTTCTCGAAGCGCCGCCCACGACTCCCAGGAACCAACTATACGCTTCACAGTAAGCTTCTTCGATGCTTGCGCGGACCTCCTTTCCCTCGGATCTGCCCTGGTCCTGTTCCTTCTGACCCCCCCTCCCACCAATGCAACGCAACGTCTCTGGCAAACCCGAGATTCGCACACTCGATAATGAACCAGCCTATAGATCTTGCTGCAAGCCAAGTTCTAAACTCTAAACAAAAGAGTCCGACATCTCTCGCGGCCCAAGGATTTCGCCTGAGCCGCTCCCCAGACGCCTTCGCTGCCGTACAAACGACATCAAGCATCCCACGACATATCAACAGCCCTGCGTCTCGGAACCTGCCGCTGGGCTGTCGTTGCGGCCGCCATGGGCATGGGCGTCGCTGTCTCCATCCGCCCTGGAGGGGTTAGGAGGGCCTTGGATGGGCGCCGTCGTCATCCCCATTCCCTGCGACTGATCAAACCTGCACCTCAAAGTCCCCGTGCTCCTGAGTACGCCAGCAGGAGCAACATTATCCAATGCCTCGCTGCCCTCGGCTTCCAAGAGAAACGCATGGCCTGCCAAGATGATGTCCAAGAATAGGCACATGGGTCACCCTCCGCAAGGCAGGATTAAACGACAACCCGCAATGCTTAGCTGTTTGCTTGCCTGTCATCGTCGCCGGCTCGTTCCATCCATGTGTTCTAGCAACTGCCCGCCGCCGCTGCAGCAACGAGCCGCAGGGATGGCGATGCACAGTGGCCTGCCCACCTGCTACCGGACTTCAGGCCAGGCGGTTTGCGCTGGTGGCCGCGTGTGCATGCCGCCCTCCCTCTCCAAACAATGAGGAATCGAATGGATCTTCACGGTAATCTACACGCTAGGAGCCTGGCTCCCGCAACCTTGAGCGCGTACTACACGCAGTCCACGTCAGGGAGGCGGCCTGACCCTGGTCGTCGTTCTGGTTCTCCTGGAACCCCGCTTCAGGACCGTCGGGGCCGTCGTCGAGTGATGGGCGTCAAAAAACATGCTCACCTATTATGCTGCAGCTCCCCATGACCATGCGGGTCTCTCTCCGCCAAGACGGCATCCGGCGAGAAGCTTGTTGCAGTTACACATTTGAGCCCCCCAAAGGCGGGAGCGGTGCCGTCGTCGGCTCCGAGGAGGAGTGCGTGCACAAAACCCCGTGGGATTTCTTTCGCAGTCTCAAGTGCCGACCAACGACCTGCGATGTAACTGGCAAACGGTTTGGATCTGAAAACAAGAAGCGGTTCGGCCGCCGTCGGTCCGTCCTGCGCCTTGGTCAGATGGCCCGCAACAGTCTCCGATAGACATTGTCTCGCGGCTTCACTGCTACAATGCGCGACTTGGGCTGATGTTTGTGGAGGGCACTGACCGGACTCGTTGGGGGATGCCTTCTGGACATGGCATTGTGCGCCTTTCCTTCAAATGGAAATCCAAACGAACACACCTGAACTTTTGCATCTGAACCCGATCCCAAGTATCGGCTACGTAACCGGACGAGCAATGTTGATTCGCTGGTGACGCAGGTTGATGACGGCACAGCACAAAAATAAACCAGCCTCGCGTCGCCTCGTCTGTCGCCATCCAACTGGTTTGTTTATTCGATGCGGCTCAGCCACAGGAATGGTATGGCCCGGTATCAAAACAGCGGCCGTGACGTTGCCGCAGGTGATTGAGCCGCACGCACGCACGCCCAGGAAATGTTTCCAGAAACGGCGTTTGACAAAAACGTCTTGGCCCCACAACGAATGCTCCAAAAGAGAATGCGCGTTTGGCAAAAGACGAAAATGCGGCCAGTGTGGATTGAACACACGACCTTCAGATTGATTGAATGAAGTTTCTCGGATCGTGATCCGCTTCAGTCTGACGCTCTCCCAACTGAGCTATGTCCGCCATGATCTTCGGCAGTTGCCGGACGCAGTGAGCGATATAATGCCTCCCTCCACTTCTTGCCCACATCGCCCGTGTCATTAGTCGTGCAAGACGACTGTCTTTGCAACCTCTTTGACGAGCTGTCGAGGTCTGGACATGGCCGAGTCAGCCTCCTGCAGGTATGGCACAAGAGCAGAGACAACTCAACTTGCGATTTCTCTTCAGACTCGAGTTCGGCCGTCTTCTCTCCCAGCCATCTGGATCTCGACGTTAGCCCTGGACCCTGGACCCCACCCATCCGCTCCGCCCACCGCCTAGCTCGCGATGCGCTGCCCTTAGTGGTTCCCTGCCCACGAGGCCTTCAACGACAACCGGTTTGGTGGTGTAGTTGGTTATCACGTCAGTCTAACAGGTCGAGCGCTTCTCTGAATGCCCTCGCCTGGTACACTGAAGGTCTCCGGTTCAAGTCCGAGCTAGATCATCCTATGGGCGATTGGTTTAGTGGTATAATACTCGCTTAGCATGTGAGTGGTCCAGGGTTCGATTCCCTGATCGTCCAGCTTTTTGACGGCGTCGTGGGCGTGAGGTCCGTCTCATGATTTGCGTTGTTCTTTTTTGATATTCGGGCGCCTTCCGGGCCTGACTCGGGGGACGAGCTGACTGGGACCGAGCTGTTGCGGGTGGAAACAATACCCGATGGCTTGGTTAAACTTGAGACTGGGTTCCGAAGCTTGTGACCGCGTCGTGCCGTCTCAAAACAGAGGCCTCGACGCGCCGTCGAGACAGTCAATGCCTACTGGCAGTTTTGTGTGTGGTTCCAAAGAACAAAACGTGATCGAGGAAACCTTCTTCGACGCTCGTGTCAAAAACTCACCGACTCGTGGCCCACGATGGTGCGTCGCGAGACCCGTGAGACCCTGACTGCGGGAACCAATGCGGGAAGAGAACCACCGCTCTTTGGGACGGCTGGAAAGGGTTTCTACGACACGGGCCAGCTCGACCATTGAGCAAAACGCAAATCTCCTCACTGTCGGAGAATTATCTGCTGTTCTCGTGCCTCCAGACGATCCGGCTGCCGCGTAGAATGCGGGGACGCGCGTCTTTGAAGGGTGCTATTCCTGGATCGCAGCCATCTTCGGTTTCCGGCCGCCCTGCACTCGCATGGCCTCCGTGACTGTTCAAAGACAGGGCTGTCGACCTGAGCAGATGAAATGGTTTTGGACATGTCCTCACAATGTCCTGCGGCTGGCGTGTGGTGGTGACGCATGGGCACGCCAACGACCGGAGCATCAATTCCCGACTGCTGAATTGAGTGCCTTCTTTTCGTTCAACCGCCACTTGACAACTTGGCCGCGGCCCGGGAGTCCCTCATCGGAATGGCTCGGGTCGGCAGCTCGGCCGTATCAACACATCAACGACTTTTGATGAACACAAGTGCTGATGACTCTAGACGAACGGGATGTAACTAACCTATGCAGGTCTGGATGGCGCAAAAGCATCATACCACCCTGCAGCTGTTATTCCGAGAATTTCGACGTGCTTGCTTTTTCTCTGCGTTCCGTTAGTCAGGCTTGACTTTCGACGTGCATATGTTGACTCGCAATTCCGTCTCTTCTTCGGAAATGCGAGGCAGTACATAAATCGAGGAAGGTCGTAGACGAAGAAGCCCGAGCTTCCATGCCAGTGTATGGCGAGGGGTGCTTGTTTTTGCTTGCTGGTCTCAGCAACCATTGGTACTTGCTGTATCAATGCAACTCCTTTCACACATGAAGCCAGATTGGCGCCGTGGTACGCGGCGAATCGAACAGCGGTTGCTTCGGCATATGATGGGGCGGCGCAAGATGCCTCCTTTCCCCATGCTATACAACCAACCGGCGGCATTGGAACTGGAATTACAGCCATCAACGAACTGATCCGTTTGCCAGTTGCAACATTTCTTCGAGCAGCGTGCCACGGACGCATCGCCGGGCTAACATCTGCTAACCAGCACCGCCAGCGCAGTAATCTAATCGTTTCGCCGAGCCTATAGCGAATCCCGAGCTGCTCGGTCCGAGTTTGATCGGTCGATGGACGGAGGACGCCTGCGGTACATGGGAAGGCCAGATCGACGAATGCGACCGTCATCTCGGTTCTCCGGCTTCCAGAAGCTCTCCAGACGTGTCGAAATGATTGCGAGCCAGGGGCTTGACGACAGCCTGTTTCAACCAAGTGGCTGGAAGAGGAAGGCTGGCATCTTGTGAGTCCAGACAAGCGGTCCCGGAAGCGACCCGAAATGACCGGGCAGCGGTCGCAATAAAGCCAGACTTGGTTCGAGCTAGGGGGCTTTATAGACCGGCAGCTATGACAACGTCCCCGGAAACGCAGGAATGCGTGCTTTTCACAGCGGCTTTCCCATCGGTGTGGAGAGTCAAGTGGCGCTTCTTTGCACTGTGAGAGATCGACGGACCGGTGGGCTGTCTGGAGGAAGCTTCACGTGTGAAGACGAGGATGCTGGGGCGGACAGGGAAGCCCGATGATTTCAGGGGTCTGATTGTTGGGATCAACTTGACGTGATGGCTACACAGCAGGCGCTTTCGAATGCGGTCTTGGGCGCGAGAAAAGCAACGACGCTGCAGACCGGCATTGGGAGCACGGGAACGTCGATTGAAGGTATGCGGCTGACGTCGACTAGAAGCGATATGCCCGACGACAGTTCTGGCTGTCATTTGAAAATTTTCAGCTCCCACTGCAACCGCAAACAAGATTCTATTCCAAAGTCTGAAGCCCAGTTGGGGCACCGGGGAAGCAGGACTGCGAGCCGGCGAAATGTGGTTGGGCGCGTGAGACAGGGCTACGGTGGAAACTTGCTTTCCGATCAGGTGAGCGGTTGGGTGGGTGGCCGTAGTAGCGAGGCGTTGATCGGGCAATCAGTTTGATGAGAGACAAGCGAATAAAGTTATCAGATCGAACCCATGCTTGCCCATGCCGTGTCGCTGGGCCGCGAACCGTCTTGTGGAGCAGCTAGCCCAGGCCGGCGTCGACAAACGCGTAGAAATGAGGATGCGACAGTGACTTGGCGTAAGGAGACACGAGCGGGTCCTGGCCACGACAGGCCCAGAATCTCAGGTTTGGCGTTTGCGTTGGGAGGATTGACGTGGCTTCAGGGAGTTGCGGTGTGACCGGTGTCGGAGATGAAATCAGATTAGATGCGATTGATTTGATGAGATTGATAAACGGGCGATAAGATTGTGGCTTCGTGTTTGACCAGAGACCAAAAGAAAGTCAAACCTGAGTAGACAGTGTGATTAGACGAAGGTCACGGACAGGGATCGGACGGCAGGGTCGGCATTCCGTTTGGCAATTGGACCTGTTTGCGGCGATCCTCGGTCTGGAGCGGCCACTCGATTGGCGTGTGATGTTTGTGTTGGCAGCGGATGCCGTATGCGCTTAACGAAGGGATTGTGACGTGGATGCGTGACGCGCGGGTAGCTTATCACGGCAGCGGACGGCGGAGGACACCGACGGAGCCGAGCCTGCAAGAGGGGCAGCTGCCGTCCACTTTCGAGATACGGGTGCTGAGCGGAGCGGCGCTGGAGCAGGACTGGAGCAGCAAAGGGCACGTGGAGGGTCGAGGACGGAATTGCTCGGTTCGGTCGCGGGCTGGGTATCCGTACCAAGCAGCCGTTCTGCGCGAACCGGCGAATTTCCCCCAATCCTTCCGCGGTTGTGCAGTGTCGCATTCCGAGGGTTTCTTTCGTCAGCGGTGCGCCAACACTGCCGTCAAAGGTGCTTGGGCTGGGCTGTGGAATGACGGTTGATGCGCAACAATTGGCACGCATCAGACGGAGATCCACTGCGCGACTGGCATCGGAAGACAGTGTGCGAGACAGTGTCCAGGGTCTGGATCGGGGGTGGAAAGTGACGGAATCCAGTGGCGACTCAACGGCTAATGGGTCGGGTAGTGGTCTGACAGTGGAAGAGATTTCCCGGCAACTGGTTATGCTTGTGTTTATCGTTTGATGCTCGGTGAGCGGTGAGGGAGCATGAATAGGATATTGATCTGTTATTTTTGTCAGTGCCGTGTCATCGAACGAGCGTGGTGCGCGGAGAGAGATTGCTTCATTAGCCGTGGCCTCGTCGACACACGGGGCTGAGCCCATGGGAAAAGTCGGGGGGGCCGCTGTCCCGGACGAACCGTACCGTCTGCAACCGAGGGAGCACACGACGTCGGGGTGGCTGATCCAACGTGCTGGGCCACACTGTACGGTATAGATTGGGAGTGCGTAGCGTGGTACGTAGGGCATGTTGATATGCCGGCGACGTTGCGATAGCGTAATAACGCTGGGGACGGTAAAAGAAGACGCAAGACGGAGCTCCTCTTCCCCTGTCCCATTGACAGTCGATGGAGTGCTCCTGCTCCTCGGGCGGAGCTGAATTAGGGCGTATTCGTTAGACATGAGGTGGAGGATCATGGATGCGGCCACCTCATCGTGCGTAGCGGCTGCACGACTGAGATGGCGGCGGCAGATGGCAGGCAGAGCATCGTGGAGA